TGAGGGTGGGAGGCAGTTCACATCCAAACAGCAGCTCTGAGAGGCTATTCTGACATCCTGCAGAGACATTCAAGCAGAAACTTTCCAAAAACAAGTTCCAGGGATGCAAGAATTGTAAAACTGCTATCAAATAAGGGGTCCTATGTTAATGTGTAACTCGACCTGTTAGGATGTTTTTGATTGAAATAACTTTTGATGTCAGTGAAATTGATCCACTAATGCTGCAAATTCAACAAAGGACCATTTTCACTTCTCTACAACCTATAAAACCTTTGAAACTCTGTGTGCGTAATAATTTGGAACAAAGCATTTTAAGTTTTTTACTTTTGAAAAACACTGTTTTCATTGGGAGTTTTGTTCAGTAACATTTGAATTATACTCTAATGATGACTCAAAAATTATGCCGACTGTCATTTGAATCGACTGCTTAGGAAAAACAGAGAAAAATATCATTTGCATAATAATTTGGAAGGCGCTGTAGTAACTTAACACAGGACATGTTGGTTAATGGCATATTCAAAGTCTCTCCTGACATGCACTGTGCAGTTTGTTAAAATAAGATGATGTTAGTCAGTAGAAAAGCAAAAGGATGAGCCTCAGAGTTATAGATAGAGTGAACTCTGAGCAAATGCAGTCATGACTAAAATTCTGAACTGCTGTGTGGATTTGACACCAGCTTTCCAATGCTTCAAACCAACAACTGAAACCATATTACAGTCCAGTCCACGCTGTCACAGTGTCTTATAGAGCTGCACAGTTTACACCCAAACCACCAACTGAAGATCTTCATGTATCCCTCCACTCTCTGACCCTTACGCTAATTTGTTGTTTAAGCAACACTTAATGAATGAATTTAACTATAGAGTTACAGTGTAGCCGCTTGGCTACATAAGTAATGTTTGAATAAATTAAGACAAATGATGTATTAAATCCAATTATGTAATCCTCCAAATATATGAAGCTGATGCAAGTTTCAACAGAGTATTACAGCCTGTAGTGTAACTGAGCCACATTCATGAGGC